CATTGCGTGTGGTGCCCTCCCTCTCTTGGGGTGCAGTACTACGATGCCGCTGGAGTCACTCAAACCCCAGAACTGAGCCTCTACTTTAGTCAATCCTCTTTGCGTGAGCTGTTTCTCCCACCCAGGAATTCCACTCCGAATTCTAATTGGTTGATCTAGACTGGAAGTATTCCCTCCAATTTATGAAAACTAGCGCTACCCTGGCCGCTTGAAATTCCTGTTTCGCTACAGGGATACAGTAGAAATTAATTAATGACTCATTAAATCAGCCATAAGGCGATAAATGTTATCATTCGGTTACGAAAATAGTTGGTTCCGTATCGGTTTCATTATTATTTTCAAATGCTTGTACATGACTGGTTGGAGTTAAGTTACAGTGCTGCTGTTTGTCGACGTTCATGCGGATTCTGTGTTTCACCTGCCAGTGTCATTATCAGGTGATATTTCTCATATTTTAGGCACGTGAACCAAGGGATCAACTGTTATCATGACATGAGAGAGGAATTTTGGTGTTACAGCGGAGTGGGCTGGGCCCAATTGAAGTTTGACAGCTCCTCATCGTGGAGATATCAATTGCTGCGGAGTAGATGACATTTGACAGTTGGACTTTCCCGCTGAATATGTCGAAAGTCAAGATCAATGGGCACCAACTGCCCATCAAGGCCCATTACTTTTTCTTCATGGCAGGTATTTTGCCTCGTGGCTCCTGCATTTTTGTTTTCCCTTAATGAACATTTTTCTTTTATTTTTCCAGCAATGGGTCCCATCCTGCCATTTCTCCCTGTCTACGGAAAGCAGTTGGGAGTGTCGTCAGTGGCTATGGGAACGATAACAGCCATTCTACCATTTCTCTTTCTCCTATCGAAACCGGTATTTGGTTTTCTGGTTGATTATTTCCGCAACTGGAGGAAAACTATTTTCATTGGGATATTAATAGGCTGTTCTCTGTCCTTCGTACTCCTGTACTGTCTTCCCAGGATACCAGAATTACCCAAGGATGCTGAGAGCAATGAAAATTTCACGAGAGCACTGGTTTGTGGGGATCTGAAGCCTTGCACAAATCAGGTACCATTAATTCATTTAATTTCAATATTCAATTCTCCTCTTTTTAATTCCACTACCTAATCCATGGTGTCAAGAACGAATTTTTGTTTTGCCAATGATGGCACTTAACTCTAGATAAGATATCCCTATCGTAGCCCCGATTAAATATTTACACAAGAATTTAACCAGCACTCGAATGGTATTTCAGAACAATGACACGTGCTCGAAAAATCATAAATCTCAGATCGTTTGCTCTCACGTGTGCAACACGACGATTCAACGATTTTATGTGACGATAAAGCTGACAGATCTCGATGGAATGCACCTGACACCTCATTGTATCGTCGAGGGGGAATCTGATACGAAAGAGATTGATCCCTCGATCTGCTTGTCCACTCCAGGATGCAGTATCAACTGCCCCATAAGGCACGACGATATGGAGATTGATTCCTCATGTCTCCTCAGGAGCTCCAGCTTCTGGATATTCGTTCTTCTTTTCTCCCTCGGGAGCATCGGCTTCAATGTCACCAATTCCATCAGCGATGCCATTTGCTTCGATGTTCTCGGGGCAGGTGGGCACATGGGATACGGTAGACAGAGGGTCTGGGGAACAATTGGTTTTGGAATAGCAGCCCTCATCGCAGGTGGAGCAATAGACTTGGTGTCGAAGGGGCACGTTGTCAAGTCTTACACTCCAGCTTTTTTACTAGTCATCATCTTCACGATTATCGATGCAATCTGCTGCAAAAAACTGGAGCTTCCCATAATCACAGGCTCGAAAAATATCGTCAAAGATGTTCTCAAGCTCCTCAGAACAAAAGTAATTGCGATATTCCTCGTCTTCGCTACGATAGCAGGAATTCTCGACAGCTTCGTAATTTACTTTTTATTTTGGTACCTAGAGGATCTCGCTATTCAAACGAATCACATGGAGCAGATTAAATTGATCGAGGGGCTCATCGTTGCTGCTGAGACACTGGGGGGTGAAGTCGTATTTTTCTCCCTGTCAGGGAAAATCCTCAAGAAATTCGGGTATGGCATTAGCATGACCTTTTGCTTTGTATGCTATGGCCTACGTCTGGGGTTAATATCCCTCGTGCCAAATCCATGGTGGGTCATCCCCATCGAGCTACTCATGCAAGGGCCCACTTATGCCCTTTGCTACACAATTATTGTGGGATTTGCCAGTGTCGTTGCACCTCCTGGTACATCAGCTACGGTCCAGGGGATTATCGCTGGCATGGACGATGGACTTGGTAAATAAATTCCCCATTCATATGGTTTCATAATTAATTCAGTGAATAATTGTCAATTTTGAGTTATTTCATTCGGCTATTCCTTCACTGATTTTTTTACAGGGTTCGCACTAGGTAGTTTGTTAGGTGGAATCATGTACAAAAAAATGGGAGGACCAGCAACGCTCCAATCGTTTTCGGCCCTCGCTGGGATCACAGCTGTGGCTTACTTCATCATCTACACGACGATATTGAGAGAAGAAATGCCAAAGACGAAGAGACAGGACGAAAATGGTGAAACGAATAGCCGACAAAACGTGGAGTGGAAAAGTCCTGAGGCTGCCGCCGAGGAATGTCAAACTCTCGATTCTTAATTCACTTGATGCCATAATTTTTAATGCCATAATTCATTTATATTTTAATATGAGACTTTTTAAAATTTTATAAAATATTGTACATAGGAGACATTTGTTATTGATATAGTTGACAAAACAATGTATTATTCAATATTTTGTACTTTTATCTGTATTGGAGTACGTGCAATACAAAAATATTATGCAAGCAAAATTTTTAATGCCCCATATTTTTTTATTGATTGGAGGGCAATTTATTACGAAATTCCATTGAATTTTTATTGACTCGTTACATATTTTACTGGATTTTCCAAAAACTTAGGGAAAGTTGATAAACAAAATGGAAGAAAATTTTCTAGCAAATTCGATAGATTTTTCTGTCGATACCTTTCGTGTGTGGATAGCAGTCAGGCGTCTCGAGATGACAGAAAAGTGTTCTCTAGATACTCTTCCAACAGAATTACTTCTTCACATATTCGATTGCTGCAATGTCTCCGATTTAATAACATTGTCATTAGTCTGCAAAAGATTTCATTCAATTGTAGAGGATGACAACTTGTGGATTCGAGAAAGTCGCAGGCCACTCGTTACTAATCAGTGTTCCAAAAGATTTCGGGATAGGTATTTGAAATAATTTGAGGTTATTTATGAATTCAGCATTTATAAATCACAGCCAGAATCATTTACTCATCCTCTCTAGATTTTTAAAATTATCCTGTGACTTTAGAATGCAGGATTATCTCACAATTTCTCAGAAAAATCTCTCATTGTTATATATTATTTTCAAATAAAAAACAACATTGGATTTTATTTTGGATCAGGTGCAATCCATGGTTACCGTTGAGTAAAAAAGGGAGGGTCTCGTATAATTGGCAGAGTGGAAAATACGAGAGAGTGATAATTTACACAGATCGAGTGAATACCATCCCCTGGATACAACTTACAGAAGATATCCTTTGGTGGAGTGGAGGAGATCGACTTTATGGGTATCATCGAGGGCGAATCAAACCGAACAGACGATACAATGATTTTAGAAAGAGCTGTCTCTTCGCCTGGGACAACATACCCAGTGATATCTGTAAATTCGTTGTCAGAGATGAATACGTTGTTAGTGGCCACAGGTGTGATATTCACTCAATTAATCCACACTTGTTTATCACTTTTCATTGATATTTTTATTTCAAAAATTATTTCAAAATTATTACCGCAGAGATGGAAGGATTTGGTTTTGGGTGAAGGAGGAGGGACAACAGGGCCATTTTAATTTCGGAATTGAGGAAGCTCATGCTTCCAGTGTCACTGCCATTGACGAAATTCCAGAGGCTGTCATTTCAGGGGCTGAGGATGGCACTGTGAAAGTGAGAAATGACTCAACCGGTTTATTCATTCATTCTTATTTTTCTATGTGAATACCGAATTAATTCTCGCACAGATATGGCCACAACCCTCCGAAATCTACGATATCAGGCCCATATCATCATTCAATATCTACGACAGGATCTGGTCCTTAGGGGCTGATCCAGGAAAAACTTTATTCGCGGTGGGATCTTCGGGCACTAACGCTGGGCCACCCCTTCGCATATTCGATATTGAATGGTAAAATAAAAATAATAACAATAAAAACCCAGACTCAAAGATATTTTTCCATTTTTTTTTTCAAATTCAGTTCGAAGGAGAAGATTGCATTGAGTCACAACTGGAGGTATGGCGCAGGTGTCTTGGACCTCTCCTGGGAGAGTTCGCAGTGTCTATTATCCTGTGGCTATGATACGTATATACGAAAATGGGATTTAAGGTATATTGGCGTGATTTTTAATTAACGAGTTATTTTCACCTCTTCGTTTTCAATTTGGCAATATGAATTGTTATTAATTGGCAGAATTGGGACGTGCGTTGCCTCCTGGGCGGATCCAACAGACGCCACGATCTACTGCATCTCCTCAGATTTCAAGCACACAATGATCACAGGAACTCAATACAATGGAAAAGCTGTTCTCTGGGATCAACGACTACCTCGCTATGTCCAACTTTACTTCATGAATAACCGAAGGCCTTCGAGTCCTGTCTATAGCATATCATTCGACAGCACTCATTTAGTCGGCGCCACAGACAGGCAATTAATACAGTTCACATTTTCTGGGACCAATAATCGCCCTCACGATTATCGCGGAATCCTCAAGTGATTTCCGGAAGGACAGGCCATTAAAATATCATTAAAAACACCTTTCAAATAGTTTAAACTTTATTCTTCTCGTCTTTGAGGCATTAACTGATCATTGGTGTACAAAATATTAAAGTTTCCCAACAAAATAAAATGCATATTTTTTCTTTTGATTAGGGGAAATTAATTAAAACCTGGGGGTTAATGTAACAATATTTCGATAAACGATAAAGGAACGTGCACGATCGACAGAATGAGGTGGTTCAACTTTGTGCTTCGGTCAAATACCTTGCTGACCATTCTGTTATTTGTGGGATCTTCCTCGTACATGCAATTCTACTAATTTTTTCCCATTAGGGAACTCAGGAGAAATTTGTCTCGCAGCTACTTATTATTTTTTACCTTTTCGCTATTAAATTCTATTCTCCATCAATCAAAAATTAATTTGACAATGAGTCATCGCAAGCTAGACAACAAGAAAAAATATTAAAAATCAACAGATATTTATCAAATAATTTAGAAAATTTCCCTCCACGAATTAAAAAAGTATAAAACGATGATAAAATTCTTAACAATTCAAATAAGGGATCGAATCATGTAATTAAGAATGCCGCCGTGTTTGAAATAAGTCAAATCGACTTCGGTGTCGAAACGCACGATGACGCTGAAATTTTTTCCAGTGTCAGTGCGCACTGTTATTTGTTCGTGTGGTTGACAATTTAGTGGAATGTCGATGTCAAATAATTCAAAGCCAGTGAGACCGAGAGTCTCGGCCGTTTGACCTGGTAAATATTGCAATGGAACAATACCCATTCCAACCAAATTTGACCTGTGTATACGCTCGTAGGACTCGGCGATTATTGCACGAATTCCAAGAAGATAGGGTCCCTTGGCAGCCCAATCCCTCGATGAGCCTGAGCCGTATTCCTTGCCGACCAGTGCTATTAGAGGGGTTTTATCCCTCCCGTATTTCTCGGCAGCATCGTAAATATCCATCTGTTTGAAAATCCAGGGTTAGTGGAAAATTTTTGCATTTTTCAATGGTCCCAGGGAAATTTTTACCTCTTCGTTAGTGGGAATGTGGAGGGTTCTTGCTCCTGGCTTTCCTACGAATTTATTTACCAGGCGAATATTCGCGAATGTTCCACGCACCATTACGGCGTCATTTCCACGACGTGCACCGTATGAATTGAATTCTTTCGGTGTAAGGCTGATGTGAAAAATAAAATTCCTTAAAATGTTTCACATTTTTTTTACGTTAATAATTACCCTCTCGAAGCTAAATATCTAGCTGCTGGGGAATTACGAGCAATGCTTCCAGCTGGACTGATGTGATCAGTCGTCACGGAATCCCCAAGATTCAGAAGTACCCTGGCACCTCGTATGGACGTGATTTCAGGCAATTGCTGCAATTAAAATGCAATTATGCATGAGATTTTGAACAAACCATAATTTCCCCTCAATTTCCTGAGGACCTAGACCCACGGTTGACTCACCTTCTGCAGTCCATGGAAATACGGCGGATGTTTAATATAAGTTGAATTGGAATCCCAGGGGTAGAGTTGGCCCTCAGGAGCAGCAAGACTTGCCCACCGTGGGCTGCCCTGCTCAATTCTCTCATAAACACTCTTAAACATCGCTGGAATCACATACATCTGCTCCACAGCCTGGATCTCAGCCCTAGTCGGCCAAATATCACGGAGAAACACCTCACGACCATCTATTCTTCTCCCCAGGGGCTCCTTCTCAAAATCAATGTCAACGGTCCCCGCTATTGCATATGCAATTACAAGGAGAGGAGATGCGAGATAATTAGCTCTCGTACTGGGATGAATTCTTCCCTCGAAATTGCGATTTCCAGATAATACGCCACAACAGACCAATTCATTCTAGAAATTTCAATTTTCTCATTACAATCTAGAAAAATTTCCATGAATTCATCCCTGCAATAAAGCAATTCCGGCTGTCGCGCTGGAAGGAAGGAAAAATAAAGCGTGAGTCATAACGCATTTGTACCTTTTCGATGGCATCGACAATGGAATCATCCAAGGGTCCGCTGTTGCCAATACAAGTCATACAGCCGTAGCCAACAACGTCGAAGCCAAGCTGCGTCAGCGGGGGTATGACACCGCTCTCCTGCAGGTAATAAGTGACCACCCCAGATCCAGGGGAGAGAGATGTCTTGATGTACGGGGCGACGGTCAATCCGGCCTCAACAGCCTTTTTTGCAAGAAGACCTGCCAACCGATGACATATTCATGTTTCTAAATAAAATTCAATTGCTTTCAATCCCGGGGTGGACAAGTGAGTCTCACCTGCACCGAGCATGACACTCGGATTGCTCGTGTTTGTACAACTGGTGATTGCGGCAATCACCACCGATCCATGACGCAGTTTGTAGTCCTTGCCCTCGAATTGAAATATTCCCTCGGTTTTCGTCCTCTCTGGGGTGAGACCGTATCCCTTGAAGCCAATCTATCCCAGTGTAAATTCCATGAATGCAAAGATTGTCAGGAAAATTTGTGAAAATATTTTACAGAAAATTTCCAACACTTCGGGAATAATGAATAAAGGTTTATTGCTAGGAAAAGGCGATGTTTATGACCCCCTCGTTACTCAGGTAAGACCTTCTTCCTCCCCCCAGATTATTCTTCCGTTTCCCCTGGAGTTCTCGAACCTTTGGAAATTCTGGGAATTATTTTTACTTGCTTCACAAGAGTTTTTAATCCAACGATAGCCTCTCGAGGGTCTCGTGTTACCGATTGACGTTTCAGTGTGGAATATGCAGAATTGTAAAAAATTGTCAAATCAGCGATTATCATTTCGAAGGCGAACGGTGCCTCGACGATTTCGTTCTTGTATTGCAGTTAATCGGGGGAATTCAGTGGAGTCGGACACTCAGACAAGTCGAGGAAGAACTAAAATCAAGAAAAATCCCAAACTTTTGGCGATTGAAGTCGACGTCAGGTAGGAATTTTAGACAATGAGGGGATTAGAGAGGTATGAAGATTTTTCGGAACTAATTGACCCTTCGGAATTTTCACCAATTGTAACGAGTTGAATGTCTTGAAAATTTTTGGCGAAAAATTACCTGAAGCATGCACTTACTGGAAATATTTTTCTCTAGGGTTCCCAGGGCATTTGAATTGTTCCGATTTATTATTCGTTGGAATGAAAGAAATGAGACGCCGATGTTTAACGCAATTGAATAGATATTACGATCGATAAAACGCATTCTCGTGTTGCTCGACTCTGATCCAAGTGGCGAGGAATTATTTTAGACATATGGTGTGTCTCAATTATTGGGATTCAGTTGCAATCGGTGGAGGCAAACAGAGGTGATCGAAAAACCTGTGTCAATAATTAGAGTTTTCAGATGATTACCATCAATTCAGAAATTTTGCATTGTTATTTTCACATTGAACGGATTATTTTTTATATAATACTTCAATTGCGATAGAATTTTCAAGTGCTAGTCGAATATTCACGGAAAATCTGTGCATTGGCCAGAATTGATTTTTTAAAATCAATTATCTAAATGTTTTCTAGTGTTTTTTTTTTCATAATTTGCTTTATCCTATTAATTACAATTTTCTATTTATATATTTCGGTCATATCCAATATCGCTTGGTCTCAAAATTATTGATTTTATCAAAAAGTATAAAAACAACTTTTAATTTTTCACTGAAATTGAGATTTTTCAATCAATTTCAAATTTCACGTTACTCTCAATATTTTTATTTTTATTCTTTGAAAAAATATGCATTTTTAATAATTTAGATTCGAAAATAGCAACAGGACAATTCGTGAATAGAAAATCTGTGGCAACGCTGGGCCAGTGGTCGAGGAAGGAATAAGGACGAAGGTGGGACCCCAGGGGTGGGGGAGGTCCTCCGAATTAGTATAAATTTGGGTGGATGGTCAGCAAGGTCATCAGTCTGCCGAGGCCAGGCGAAGTGGTATCATCTGTATACCGAGTCAGTTGAAGTTTTGAGTAAATCATCATCGAGAAGACTGCTGTCGGATGCAATCTCGTCCGGTGTGGGATAATTACAGCCTCACCGGGTAAGATTCATCCAATATTAGTCCCTCATCACCAGTATCTTCGATTGTTCATCAAATATCTTCAACATCATCGGGTGACTTTGATTTAGGGACGCAGTATCGGTCTAGTGACACGGAAATTTCAAACTCGTGACTAGATCGAAATACTCGTCCCTGGATTCAAGTAATTTCAACGTTCCAGGATCAACGAGGAGTCTCTAAACCTTCAACACTGTCCCACTGGTTTTTCTTTGGTGATCTAACTGTATGTGACTTCAAATCCATAAAGCTAGAGCATTAAAGTGATACCGGTGGGAAATTTCATCGTGGGATTCGTCTCTTCACTTTTCAAATTGTTTGTTATTTATCCCTCAATTGATTGTTTGAGTTTCGAAGAACTTGTGCAGTGATTTGTAACATTTATATCCATATCACAGCACAAGTTACTTTAATCTCTACGATTACCTCACCGTATTCAAAAATTTATTCAATTTTTTTTTTCGTTCAATTATTTGATTGCCTCGAGGAAAAGGAGAATAAGTGCAGAATGGGATAAACTTGATTCAGGTTGGCGTCTCAATTAATCGTCACTGGGTTAAGTTTGTCCCATGTGTGTGCTGAAAATACAACATTCCATGTGGCGAATTTTTTTTTACCTTGTTTGTAAGACAGCTGGTGAAATCTGCCTTCATTTCGGACACGGAGACCCTGTCGTGGGGCCTTTTGGGACCACTCACGCTGGATACCACTGTTCCCAAGTCCAGAGTCACTGTTTCCGAGAATATCGGATCCTGGGATTGATCGTTGTAATCCCGCAGCATTCGCACTGCCTCCAGGTATTTTTCTATACGTTCAATATGCTCCTCAGTTCGCCCTGAAAATAATTAAATCCAAAATGTGAATTAACCGGTAATTTTGGCGATGATAAATGAAATAATCTCCAAATATATTACCAGTTTGTCTCAAGTAGCTCAAACTCTGTCGATCAACTGGAAAAAATCCAACAGTAGCACCGTATTCGGGGCACATGTTGGAAATAGTGGCTCTATCAGCAATACTGAGTTCCGCAACTCCAGGGCCGTAGAATTCCACAAATTTTCCAACAACCCCAAGCTGCCTGAGATTCTTCGTGATAGTCAAGACGAGATCAGTCGATGTGACGTATTGATTCAAAGTCCCCACGAGTTTATAACCGATGACCTTAGGCAGAAGCATGGAAACAGCTTGACCCAGCATCACAGCCTCAGCCTCAATTCCCCCAACACCCCACCCCAAAATCCCCAGTCCATTGATCATGGTCGTGTGAGAATCTGTACCAACGACACTGTCAGGGTACAATAGCTCGTCTTTATCAAAAACCACTCGTGCTAGGTACTCGAGATTCACCTGATGCACTATTCCACTTCCTGGAGGGACAATCAGCATATTCTGGAGGGCTCTAGCCCCCCATTTCAAGAACATAAAACGCTCTTTATTCCTCTCAAACTCTAATTCCTCATTTTTCTTCAGGGCATTGTCGCTAGAAAAAAATTTTAAAAATCAGTAGCAAACTATTTATGAATCGGGGAGTGACAAAAAATTCCATCCAATTCCGTTAACGATTTTCTATATTTATCTTTAAACTCATAATTTTATAGACGTTGACGCAAGTTAATTAAATCCCCTCAACCGGTTATCGTGAATGAAAAACAATGAATGCCATTTGACCTCTGACAACTAATGCGAAAGTTACCTGCGGACAAAGTCCACTTGAATGGAGTGATCGATTACCAAATCGGACGGGCAGATAGGGTTGATTTTGTCAGGATTTCCTCCAAGTTCCTTCACGGAATCTCTCATAGCAGCAAAATCCACTACAGCAGGCACTCCAGTGAGATCCTGGAGAATTACCCTGGCTGGTTTAAAGGCCACCTCGACACCGTCCTCCTTTGCCTGATGAGTTTCCCATTCCAAAATTTTCTCCACATCTTTTTTCTTCACTTGGAATTCATCGCAATTTCTCACTGCACTCTCCAGAAGAACTTTTATCGAGAAGGGCAGTCGATCTGAAATACAAATATTGTCGTCCAATCACAATAATATTATCTCCCCTAGAGAGAAAAAATATATCACGCCAGTTGATTATGAGGTCATAATTACCATATTTATCACCGAATGATCCCACATCGTAGTACTGACGATTTTTACCTGACACTTGAATTGGCTTTAACAGATTGCCATAGGGATTCGCAGCTGAGAAATTCAAAAATCATCAATTATTTACATTCTTTATATGAATTACGAAATACCTGTTGCCCCTGATATGATAAACTATACAAATATGAATAATTATATTGCGTGGAGAACATTTGGAATTGAGGTAAATCAAATCTTGAGGACTTTTCAATTATCTAAACTTCACTTTGAATATTAATTTTTTATCGTATTATTTATGATATTTAATTTATTGACAGTATTTTTTATTCGTATAAGACACTCACCAGCCATGATTATCAACGCACGAGTCACGTCCTCTCAGTATACTTCAAACACAATTTTCGAGTGGTCATAAGTCTACTCACTCTCATGAACAAACATACGAAACGATTACAACCACCAACATAGTATTTATCGAATATGTAGTATCGATATATCGATATCGTCATTCATCGAGAATTACATTGGGCAATAACAGCGATGATTCGTTCATTCTCGGAATCGTTGTCGCGAGCTTTTTTTTTAGCAACCAACTTTTATTGAAAAACAATATTATTTACATAGGAGTATATAAATTCTTGAAACCAATCAAAAAAATTTTATGTTTATGATATATTTCAAATGACTTATGGCTTATCGAGCACTCGAAATCAAAATTTATGTAAAGGAGGATGAAAATTTATTTTAAGGAGAATTGTCGCAAGCTTTCGGACGCTGTCGGGCGCCTCGCGAGTTTTCGTTAAAAAATGGTAGTCCCCGGCGTTTGCAGCGCTATGGAGTTGTTGTTGGGTGTCCATTGAAGTTGAAGAAAAACGGAGAAAACAGCTAGTTAACAGCCAGAGGTTACCTCAGGCCGGTTTAATCTCCGTCGGAAAAGCCGAGAGAACGACATACCGGAGAGAATCCACCGGGGGTTCAGCGGATTTACCACGGGATTCCGTGATTTTCTCGTGGCGCTTTAAGAGCATTTTATGTTCGTGGCAGTCAGTGGTGAAGTGGTAGTTGGTGCTAGTGTTTTATAACACAATCCCCTACATTTTTCATTGTTATCCGTTGATTATTGTCCCAGTGAAACAGATCAGTCAGATCAATTCAGTGAAAATCATTGGATCTCGATAAATCTCATTGGATCGTCGGGGGAAACCGACGGAAATAACCTGAAATAATCGCATTCCACTCGGCGTTTTCACCGTTTTCTACTCAACTCAAGCATTATCGTAATACCTCGGCATTTAGCAGTTCCTTGTTGTCACTGAAGTGTCTTGTGTTTCAACAATAAGCCGAAAACAATGGGCAAGTCAACGATTTATTCACGCCTGTCTTCCAACCCCATTTTCTCATTTTTTTCGCTCCTCTTCTCTCCACCCGCAACCCCTCAATTATCGGATCGTCCGTAATTCATCAATTCATTAATCAAGTTCCAATCCCATCAGAGTCATCAGAGTATTTCTTTTCCAATCACATAAAAAATTTTATCCCCCCGTGGTGTTTGCCCGAGATACGCCCTAATCCACCTCTTGCTCTTCTGTCTCATGTTATTTCCGAAATTAAATTTTCCAACATTTTCCCCACCCCCATGGATTTTTATGACCCGACCCCTCTCTAAAATTAGTTTGACATTTTCTTGCGGACGATAATATCGCACCGTTTCCGTGTGCTTCCTTTCGTTTTTCAAGCTCTTTTCCTTTCTTTTTTTTTTCATTCTTTTTCGTTTATTCTCATGCCTCAACTCTCTCTCTCTCTTTTTCACTATTGCTCTGTTCTCTGGGTTGTTGGCGATCTGTTAACTATAGCCTGCCACACCTTAGGAGAAATCAAGTATCTGAACATGATTGTTGATTTAATGAGCCACGATTTTTCATTCATCTGCAGCGTGTGTCCTTTTCTCATATCGATTTATCCACACCGCTGACAAATGGTGAACGGTTCACTGGAATCGTCCACCCATTGACACAATTTTTATTTTCCTCATACTTCATTTGATTACCTGCATGTATTTACCAAGGGGGATAAAATTAAGAGACCCAGTGGTCTCTGGAGTTACGTAATTACATGAGGACATTAGCTATGGCACTTGTTTGTTTTTTTAATTCTCCCGGCTAATGACTAATTGTTGAATCGCATCTGTCTTTATCACGTTTAAAAATACATTGATCGAGTACGCACAGTGGAGAAGACTTCAGAAATAGCTGGACAACGTCACCTTGTGTTTTTCAATTCTCTCTTTATTTTGTCTTATTTGGTTTTTATTAGGTATGACGTCATGCACACAACCTCATCAGTGATAATGGTGGGAATATCAAGGCTTGTGCATTGGAAGCTGGCCATTAAATTCATGAATTTAACTAGAATAATGAAAAGCTGGGAATTCATTCGAGTCATTATTTTTGCCTTGGTGTTTCATTTTTTTTTCCCTTTAAATCCCCCTGAGTCGAGTGGAAACTTAAAAATTTGGCTTATCTTATCTCGAATGGTCTCACGAGCACCGCCAATTTCTTGTTATCCAATAGTCACAATTTATCCCGATAATTTGTCAACGATTTCCAACCGCTCAAGACCTATACACCTATCAAATTGAATTAGCAGGCAATTGCTAAATCATTGGGTAACAAGAATATCTGGAACGGGGAAAAAATGGTAATAATTGTGAATGGAATGACCAGTAGGGGTTACACGACAGACTGTTAAAGGGTTTGACATTTGACCCCACTTTGTGACATCCTATTTAGTCCACTTATGAATGACATTACCGCATGCGTTATCAGTAACGAGGAGATGTTGAATTGAACAAAGTCAGAGATCATTTAAATGGTGTTAATTCGTAATTTAATAAAATTGTTCTATTTTCCTTGGCTGCAGGGAGAACATTTTGTCATTCGTGCAAGAAAAAATGCAGTGGCGAAGTTTTGAGAGTCCAGGATAAGTACTTTCACATAGGATGTTTCAAGTGTGCACAGTGCAATAATAGTTTAGCGCAAGGAGGATTTTTCGCTAAAGAGGGATCCTACTATTGCACCAAGGTGAGTAATCACCACGACTACTGGTATTTTTGAGTGATTATTCGTGTGTAATGAAATACCAAGGGACATTACACTCGGAGTTTAATTGAATTGAAGAATTTCACGTTAATCACCTTTTAATACACCTGATTCATTTATCACTTTGAAATTTAACGAGTGATTTTACATTCTATTGATAATTGGCTGCAGCGATCGGACTTGTACTGCTGATAAATACATTGTATCTCGGAATTGATTGCATCATTGAAAACCTTTGGCCATTCTCAGATGATTAATTGCCATTGATTGAATTGAAGGATTATCGCGAGCGCTGGGGAACGAGATGTGCAGGTTGTGGTGAATACGTCGAGGGTGATGTAGTGACAGCAGGTGAAAAACACGCGTTTCATCCAAATTGTTTTCACTGCCAGAGATGCAGACAGCCCCTGCTGGGGCAGGGAACGAAAGTGACACTTGTTCAAGGTATACGAGAGTTGACTAACTCTTCTCACTGATCTCGAAACCGGTCTGATTTCACACATTTTCACGTTTTTGCTCGCCATCAGGTCAAGCACTGTGCCATCGGTGCGTGGGTATTCCAGTGCGCGATGCATCAACTCCACTTGGAAGCAAGTCCCAGGATGGAGAAATGAAGAGTGCTATGGGGAGTCACGATGCTAATTCCTGTGCTGGATGTGGAGGAAAACTCCAGGAGGGGCAGGCACTTGTCGCCCTTGACAGACAGTGGCATGTTTGGTGTCTAAAATGTCACACCTGTGACAGTGTTCTCCATGGAGAGTACATGGGAAAAGACGGTGTCCCGTACTGTGCAAAAGATTATCACAAGCAATTTGGGGTAAAGTGTGCGTACTGCAGTCGTTATATCAGTGGAAAGGTCCTCCAGGCAGGAGAGAATCATCATTTTCATCCAACCTGTGCTCGTTGCACCAAGTGTGGAGATCCCTTTGGTGATGGAGAGGAGATGTATCTCCAGGGGGCTGCTCTCTGGCATCCACGATGTGGACCTGGGCCCACTGGGCCCAATGGCATAGTTAATGGTAATGGAGCCATTGATGTTCACACTCCACAGCACAGGGAACAATCGGAACGGATTTCCAGCAGTGCCTCGGAGATGCAGGTAATACCCTCCGCTTTATTTTCACCCTTTTATCCTATATTATGATTTACACACTAATCCTTTATCACGTTTTCTTTTTGTTTTATCGTTTTATGCACGATTTACCTGTAGTATTCCCTGAGATCACGCACACCCAGTTTGAATGGATCGTTGTTGTGCAGCCCCTATAGCAGCCTCAGTCGCAAGGTATCCTATTTAATTTTTAATTCATCACTCAATTTATTCCAAGAAGAATAGAATAATCATTTCCTGTGGATGTGGATAATCACCGTGTAATCCAAATCAAATGGAACAGCAGCTGTATAATTTTGACAATTGTGATATTCATGTTGGGAGAATTTAATTGTGAAATTATTTTATTTGAACAGTACTATCCAGCACGCACGGGCTCACCAGGACTCATCCTGAGGGAGTATGGGCGAGGAGAGGACATCTCTCGCATATGCACTTATTCGTATTTAACGGAGACGCCGAGTCAAGGCTACCTGAGACGTCCGATCCAGCCGTACGATAAGCCTCCCACGAGCCCCCACTTTCATCGTCCAAGCTGTAATTATTTTTTAACGACTTCAATTGATATTAAGAGAAAAATCTCGCTGTCAGTGCTTTCCATCTCTCAATTCTTCGCAGATTTTTTAAATGCTTTTTTATTTGCCATGTACAGTACACTTTCGTTATAATTGCGTGCGTGATTTTCATAGCGAATTCGAATACGACTAAATTTGTACTACATTGAGGGATCCAATAATTTGTAGCTTCGAGATCGATAAGAAGCAGTGGAGGCAGGAGCAGTCGCTCGGGCATGAGAGCCCTGGTGGATGCACTAAGCGAGACTCGGCCCAAATCACCAGCAGCTGGAAGTCAAGTGGACAACGATGAGCCCATCGAATTAGCCCACTATCCTGACGCCATGAAGCGTCCACCTGGTGCAAAACCTCCCATAGAGCGTGATGACTTCCCTGCACCACCTTATCCCTATACGGATCCAGAGAGACGTCGAAGGTGGTCTGACACCTACAAGGGAGTCTCCGACGACGAGGACGAGGATCTCACTGCCACTGAGACCAACGATAAGGATATCCTCGATGGCGTTCAGAAGAACTACATCAAGGAGGCGGAGCAGAAACTCAAAAAGGAGCAGGATGAGCTGAGTAAAATCGATACTGGAATTGCTAAGGTCTTTCTACATGATATTGAGAAGAATAGAGAGAACCTGAGACACAGGGCGGCTAATGTCGATCCCAGAAATGCTTCCAGGACGCCCTCGGCAGCTAGAGAACCAACATATCGACTACGATATGAGAGTCCAGTTGGTGCATGTAAGTGAAACTCAATATTTAACAAACCAATAAAATTGCAATTACCTAAGTTAGCACTTTCGACTAAACTTTTTATTGTTATTCATTATAGCACCATCAAGGAATATCGATCACGCTCGACCCTGGGAAGACGAGGACGGCGTAAGTTACAAATCCAGCACTGGCCCCAGCTACAACGGTGAGTACTCCACAAGTATTTCCACATATTGAATAATTAATATAATCCATTGGATTTTTTTTTTCATTGACTAAAAAGTCCGTCATCTCATACATGTCCACACGTTCGCACATTACACTAACATAAATCTCCACTCTCAATTGCGCTTACTCTCACCGAATATTGAAGAAGCGTAGAGACGTAGAGATGAATCAGATGAAAATACTTTAGATATCACTTGATTTAACCGAGAGGGAAGGTCGTGCCGGAAAAGAGTTGAGTAAATGAGCATTGTGGGTTATTGCATGCTATGAGCTATGAGTTCAGGGGAGGGCTCAAGCGTCTCCGGTCATAATTTCTTGGGAAAAAATGACTCGGAAATTTTTCTTTTCCAATTCTATTATGAAAATCATTTTTTTGGGGAAAAAAAATTATTTATGTGGAACGACAAGTTTCCCAAAAATTGCCAATTCTGATGAAGGTCGTCAATGATGATAGAAAAAAAAGCATCTGAAAGGGAATTAAAAGGGCTTTTCGAGGCAGTTTACCGCATATTTTTATCACTGCTAGTTCGCGAAATATCCGAAGTTGAATATCGTAGGGACATTTTCAATTCTCATCAAAATTCTTCACAATTTTTTTTTGCCGAGAAATTTTTTTCGAACTATTATTTCTCAAGAAATTTGAAGCGGGAGCCGGGCTCGACTTATTATCGAAGAGGATGCTGGTCGTGAGCCTCTGTCGCATGCCGTAAGTTATTGAAACCAACTTAAACCTCACAATGAGGCCCCAATTTGGCTGAATATCATAGCACACCTTTTTATTTCATTTTATTTTCTTTCATTTCCACATTCTCGCATGCTGGGACCGTTAACTTCAAACTCACACCTTTTGCAAACAATCCCGTGAAATAGCTGCGTGTGCATTTCGAGTTTTTCACTTTGCATCAACTTCCATCAACTGTCATCTGCATATAATCATTCTAATATCATCTGCCTATTGTTTTTAATTTTTTTTTATCTTCATTGTTGAGAATTTTTATTTTGAGTTTATTAAACGATCTATCTGTGTTTTGTGTTTGTGTTCGTGTGTTGTGTCGATACTTGGGGGCTGCATCGTGAAGCCGGGAGATCATCGACTCGTTCCCCAGCACCCAGAAACTATCCACCTATCGGTAATCAACGCGCCTTCACACTTCCAAACGCTGCTAGGCACTATCAGTCGGTGAGTTTGTTGTTTTTAGTCGCCTCCACAGACACACACACGCTTTTTTTTATTTATTATTTTTTTATCATTGGTCCAGTGCTTTATTTACTCTCCCAAGAGACTCGGAAGAGCTATCTATCAGGCGTGTCCGAATAAAATTCGCACACCCCTTCTACTTGTTTCTTCAAATCGACATTAATTCAAGGGATTTCAATCCAGGACTCTGAGATTTTAGTTCCTGTTGACAGCTTTGACCGCTTATTCAACTTTTATCATTTTATTTTCTTTGGAATTCCGTTTCTTCCCTCAACAATTAACCAATTTATTGAGTATGAGAGATTGCGCTGCGAACGTTGGGCATTCGTATAGATACGTGGATTTTTGCTCGTTGAAAAAAAAAGGAAAGCTCACGAATAGTAAGAATTATTTTTTTTAATTATCACGATTGATGATTTGAAATTCAGTTGTGAGCTCGCTTCGGCACATCCCGAAGCCGGGATACGGTCTGGCCCCGCGAAGTCACACCTTCTCGTCAACTGGTGGTTCAGTATCAGCTCTTCCTGTAAGTTAAAACTAGCCGGCGCGTCCATTCATTCCTCCTCTTTCGTTTATCAAATTAAATGCCAACAGGTATTGAAGATTGGGATCGTGTCTCATTCGAATTATACTGGAATTTTTATTATTTTTTTCATTACTGATGTTTTACGTTGAGCGATACAGTTTAACCAAATTATACTATTTTTTTCATGATTTTTTTTCATTAGGGTGATTATTCATTCAGTGGAATGGGCGACAAAACCCACAGCACCGATTTTTCGTCTGGCAAGTCAGATAGTAAGTACTGAGTGATGAGCAATTCTCATGATTCCCTCAAACCAATTTATCTCTTTATTTTGAAATTCATTTTATTTGCTTCGCTATAGATAATTGCTTTATACAATTGTTCCAAGATATCTCAATCAATTTAGTAGTCCTGTTGAATATTTCAGCGTTAATAATTATATATTCATGTAAAAAACTATTCATTTTAAATTTATTGCCGATAATTCTGAGGGTTAATGAATAGTTTTCGAGGTAAATCGATAATCAATACGACTTGACTATTAAATTATGAAGGCTCACCTCACGCAATTGATCAATGTAATATTTACTGAATAATGTTTCAATTGTTTTCTCACAATTTTGAATGATCTCTAGTATCGACAGGCAGCATCACAGACGTGGACCGCCGAGCCCTGGTATGTACAGCAGCCCCGTACTACTCACGAAGAATAAGCATGGTTTGTAGTCTTGTGGTCTTGCCCTAAGTACTCAATTGCCCGAACATGCACGCTTATCATTATTCATCAGATAAACATCCATAAATTAAATAATTATTAAAATTGTGGTATGTATTGCATGTTCGTGTAGATGACACAAAAAATATGAGAATGAGAAAAAAGGAAGAGTTACCAAAAGGAGTGATCTGTCGTGCATGGGCAAATGGGATTCGTTTAGATGATGGTTATCAATTATTAAAAAATTCATAAATATTTAATAACACGGATTTTATGGTACTTAGAATGATGGGGGCATAATGCCTTCATCCACGACGTACACCGGTGGTCTTGGAACTGCTGGTGCTGGTCATGGACATCACATAAGACGCTCACTGCCCGACATGGGTGCTGCCCCAGCCGAACCACCAAAGCTTTATCCTTATCACCTGCTTATTATTACAAACTACAGACTGCCGGCCGATGCCGATCGCTGCAATCTAGAGGTAATTTATCGTCTCTTTAATTAATTTATAATTAGTCTACATGGTGTATTGGGAAAAATCGAGCATAAGACGGAATTGAACGTGGGATCAAATAAATAATAAATAAGCCATTGGTTTATTTAATTTCAGCGACACTTGTCGGACGCTGAGTTCGAGGCGGTTCTTCAGTACAGTCGAGCCGAATTTTACAGACTGCCACAGTGGCGTCGTAACGAGATAAAACGTCGCGCCCGATTGTTTTAAAACTGTATTAGCATTGAATTTTTATTCGACAATGTGCACGAATGCACAATTATCTCCTGCTGCATGAGAAAACGAATATATTATATGATATTGAGAGGGAATAGTTTTATCGAGAGGAAGTGAAAAGGATTTGATAGAGGTTTTTGGGATCGCCATGTCGCATTGACGATATTATATATGTCGTATTCACTTTTGTAACGCTTTTTCTTTCCCTCATTTTTTTTTCTTTTTTTTTCAAATACATTTTAGAGTCTAGAGTTGTTCATGAGTCATTACGAGAACAAAACAACTTCGCTTCATTTAGATAGGAATGATCGACGAATGAGCGCACTATAATATAATTGAGGTAAAGATATCGTTCGTCCATCATTTTTTTTTATAAAAAAAATACAGAAGAATACATGTAATTCTTGCGGATTTAGATTCGTGTATGTATTTATCAGATAAGTTTTCAAATAGTTATTTCTATTCGTTTGCTCCGGTGTCTTTAATTTATCACATTTTTAAACATGTTTTAATCACTCTGGAAAACGATTCTTTGGCAACTAAAATAGATATACTGCCAGATTGATATTCCAAGGGAATAGAAGTGCATAATTCGATAGGGGGATTTCGTGAGGATCAAGTTATCGAGATAGCTGAAACGTAAATGGTATTTTAACGCTGTTTGTTCGAGTATTGAAGATGATACTCCCATAAATATTTCAATATTTGCATTTTATCCAGAGTCATGTGCCTATTATGGATAAATGTCGGTGACATTTTCATAACACAGACAATGTTTTTTTCTCTCTTCATCGGCAGCAAAAACCTTGATAAGGAGCATTGAAAATTATCGCATATCGTTAAGATAATGAATTATCCGTGCAATGTTAATTTTTTTTTGTGAAGCAAAATTAAAAGGTGTAATGAGGAAAATTTGGAAATTGTCGTAGAGGCGCGAGATACGATGGTGCAATTGGTTTTGATTTTTGGGATAACCAGATGAAAATTAAAACTGTTTTACATTTGCCGTGTTGTATGAAGCACACACTGCTTCCGCTAGTCCACTAGCATAAATGAAACAAAAGTTGAATAAATACGCAAACTACGAGTAATTAAGTCTTATCATTCATAAATCACATTCCTCATCGTTCACGATGAGATAATAATTACTTCCACTTCCTTTTCCACACTCCACTCATGACGACGGGATGGGCGACTTTGAGACGATTTGCGTCGATTTTAGTGGAATTTTTTCAGGCGGATCTTTTTCATTGGGAAAAGGATACTCTCTCAGCCGCCAGTTTCATTCCTTTCGATTTTTGAGCAGTAACCATTATGCTTTCCTTTATATATAAGGAAAGGAAAAGGAATTAATAAACTGATGTAATTGACAAATATACGTGTTTTTTCGTTATCTCTCCAAAATCGTGTTGTCCTGTTAAAAATTTTTTTTTTCTTTATGATGTGAAGAAATGAAGAAATAATATATGAATTTGTTCATATTTATTTACAAATGTGATTGATTAAAGTAAAAGGGGGGAGACTAGACGAGTTCAGTATTAAAATCTCATCAAGGTGAATGATTAGCTTTCTGTGAGTCCCTTCCATTGGTATAATGACTGGGAGCACCACCGAGCTCTTCTTGAATTTGCTGGAGTGTCTTGCCTTTCGTCTCAGGAAGAATGAATATTGTAAATACAATACTGAGAACACAGAACACTGCGAATAACCAGAATGCCGTGTGCATTCCAAAGGCATCCTTGACATTGCTGAAGAACTTTGTTATTAAAAATGCCAGGGTCCAGCAGACGAATACTGTAATGCCAGAAGCCTTGGCTTTTACGTCAGAAGCGAACATTTCGCCCATTACAGCCCAAGGTAGGGGACCCCATCCAACACTGTACGTTCCTATGAAAATCATCAAGGAAGTTACTGGCAGCCAGCCCAGATAACTTATATCTTCATGATTTTCATCTGCCTGAGTTTTCAGATAGAAAAATACCCCTAATGCAATCTGAAAATAATTGTCAATATTGAGTCAAACGAAATTAATCATTAATGGAGAGAAAAATACTGGAATAATACGGAAAATTTACTGTACCATTTTTTTTTTTTTAATCAAAGCAAGTTTTGAACTCACAACCTCTGACATGTCAGGGAAGAATCTTACCCATATACCTGGAGTTTTTAATTATTATTGTATCGATCTTTATCACACATCCTATCGATAAGTCAACACAGCTCCCGAGGTTACGTCTTTCGAACCGTAAAAAATACGGTTCTAGTCACGTAAAATTTCCGTGAAATAATATTTACACTCTTTGACCTACTTTTTACTTAAAACTTTATAAGTTCTACGAGTTAGGAAAAAATACGCGGTAGCACCATAAATTTTCCAGAGCAAATAAAATTTACTGAACTTATTTTTCTACATGATTTTAGATAATAGAGACCGAAATCATCCTTCAGCTCATTATTACGAAACTAGTCTGGTAGATCGCGTCATTAAGCCTTTAGGAATTTTTACGGCGACAGAAAGTGATAATCGGAGGCGACGACGACCAATGTGAAGACAATCGTCAGAAAAGTTCTTTTTCCTATATTTTTCTCTCGGTGTAAACAGAGGAATACTCACTAAGCTAACAATCTCGCCAACTCCAGAGCAGATTAACAAAATTTTTCTTCCCAACCTGTCGACGACGATCGGCGTAACGCATGAAGCAGCTAATTGTACTATTCCAACGATAATTGTCGACACAGACGGCGATAGCCCACTGTCAGGATCGTCAGCAGCCTTAGTCGCATCAAAAATCGTTTGCGAATAAAAGAGAACAACATTGATCCCTGTCATTTGTTGAAATGTTACGAGAGCACTTGTGTAGATAAGCGCTCTGAAATTACTTTTAACACGATATAAATCCATAATCGATGCTTCATTCTTAAAGGCCTCCTCCACCGATGCCTAATTAAGAATAGAAAATTTTCAAATTTCAAATTGTTCAATTAATTCTAAAAAATTCGAATGACTTGGGACTAGCCTTGATTTCTTCGGCCTCGGTTCTCACACCCTCGATACTCTTCCCCCGGAGTTTGGCTAGTACTGTCATCACCTCGGTGTGTTTACCTTTCGCCGAGAGAAAGTACGGTGACTCGGGCATAAAGAAGAAGATGACAAAGAAAGCCACTGGCAGAATCATACAAGTGATCCAGAAGACGGTGTACGATACGTAGGGACCGATGCAGTACGCCCAGAGTAGTCCCACTGTTATGAATACTTGAAGAAAAGATCCCAGGATTCCTCTAATTGATGGAACAGCTATTTCACCAGCGTACATCGGTACCACGGTGAAGGCAAAGGCTATTGCCAGTCCACCGATAAAACGTGCCGCGTATAACATTCCGATGCTTGTTGCTGTTGCAATCAGTACCCAACTTACGCCAAAAGGCACTATTGTTGTTAAAAGTGTTTGCTTCCTGCCGATTCTAAAAATTAAATGATTGCTCTCGCGCTATCCATGTGGAATATATGATTTTTTTATGAAAAATTAATTGAATTACGTTTCGGCGAGATAACCCGCGACAAAACTGCCGACTAGGGCACCTACAGGTGTCAACGATCCGACCCATGATCCCTCTTCCTCACTGATGCTTCTGTCGAGAGGACTCAAGTTAGGATCTGTCACATTGGCCTTGAGATTTCCTAATACTGGACTCGTCCATCCCAGGACAGCACCCCCCGCAATAATACATAAATTGGCTGAAAATTGAAAAATTATTGGTATTTTATCAGTTTTATTATCAGTACAGGAAGTGTTCACATTCTGTGGAAAGATTTGTTTACTTGAAACTTTCGACGGGCTCGTTTGAAATTACTGGAAAAATCATAAGTGGTCTTATCGGATTTTATCGATAATGTGTCATCGATCAATATACGTTTTTTTTCCAAATTTCGTCGTTCGTAAAGTTGCGGAGGAACTTAATGCGGTAGGCGTTGCTTGATAGCGATATTCTTTTGGAATGAATGAATGTTAGATTGCATGTTCAACTCGTAATTGACATGCGACGAATTTCATAGAGTGAATCGGGTGTACAGTATGAAACCGAATGCGCTGTAACGATTCACTTCCGCACTTATTTCGCGCGGCAAAAATATTCCAATTGCTATTTCGAAATCTCTGCGGTTTGTTCCACGACTCCAAGCAATAATATTACTCCTAAATCATTTTTAATTGCTTCAGAAAATATTTACGTCATTATTTTACCTCTCAACGATAAATTGAGTAATTTTATTTTTATTCAAGAAAGATTAATATCTTTTTACCTGACACGCGATGTTATCTCAACAATTAATTCATTTTTATGTATTTCCATTCTTCATTCTTTATAAATTACATTGATAAAGGATGAGATATTTTTTTTTAGTAATTGCAAACTTTTCCGAATGATTACCCACGTAATTCTACGCTCGTGCAATTTTCACAATTTGTCTACTACTATCGGATAGATAAAACTACTGGAAAATGTTTTCTAGCTGAAAAGTATTGGAATTAAGTCTGCCATAAAATCCTAAATTAACAAATTCCATTTTCCTTCAAATTTTTTCTCCCGAAATTGCTGCCACAAATTGCTGTCAATTGAATAAAAATTTACGACTCACCAGCGACAGCAGCAACAAACTGATATAACTTGGAGCCAGTTTCCTCGACCATTCTCTGCTCCTGGGAAACTGCTGTGAAAATAACCCGATCTTCAACTTCCTGATCCTCTTGCTGGTGGATAACTGGAGCAGAATCCGTTGATGCTGTTACTGGTATCGTGGATACTGGTGTGTAGGCATAGTCTTTATATTGTCCCCCCTTTCCAACGGAGGATTCCTCGTTACTCATAGTGGGGGCAGTTGAATAGTGAATCCTTTACCTGATTCAATCAATGCTTACTTGTTTTTCACCACCTACTATTTTCCGACTGCGGATTTTTTTTATAATTGATCGACTGAATCAATTTAAGTCACCTGGAGCAATCCACGAAGTTCACTAGGGACTGTCTAAAAGTCAAGTGACTCCACCTCATCTTCTCCAACGATTCGATAAATCTCTAATTGTGTAACACACATTGATAGCAGATTTATCGTTTGCCACCGATTGGCGCATTTTTCGTTTATCTTGGGAGAAAGAAATTCAGGATTTCGTTGGGTGACAAATTTCATTTATTCCAAGTAATTCTACACGTCATATTTATTTCTCAATTAATGTATCGTAGAGACAGTAATAGCAAAACACGATTGATAGTGTCGTGTAAATTTTTTCAGGGAATGTTTCTTATCAATTCGGAAGAATGAAGCAGTGCTGCTTCAATATGTCGTGATTACTTCGTCGCTAATACTTGTCTTTCACTATCAATTGATAGGTAATCGATAAAAAATCACGAGAAACTGTCAGTCCTCTTGAGATATGTAATCAGTCTAATCATCAAGGAATTGTACTGCATCCTCGGTTCGTTCACAATTTTGTTCTTTTTTTTTCCATATTTGTACCGGCAACTAATGGAAACATTTCAATGACAAGTGATCAATTAAAAAAATTAACGGTACGGGCAGCAGCGAAATTACGGATAACGTGGTTTAAATAAATAATTATGGAGTTATAGCTCGACGACCGTTAAGTTCACTTTGAATTTCCTGAAGTGTTTTTCCTTTTGTCTCAGGGACGAATAGGTACTCAAAGACCGAAGCAAAGATCATGATACCAGCGAATATCCAGAAGGTCATTGCTGAACCCAGACGATCCTTCATCGCTGGGAATGTTTTAGTTACTAGAAAGACGAGGAACCAGTTGAGCATTACTGCCAGACTTGAGGCCACAGCTTTTGTTTCAATCGTAAACAGCTCTGGCATCAACATCCAGGCGATTGGTCCCAGTCTGCAATTATATTTATTATTGGATTTCCATTTGATTATCAAGAATCAAGGGACTTACCCTACGGAAAATGCGATCATGAAGAGAGTTAAAGAGGTTAGGGGAAGCCATCCTAAACTGGAGACATCGCTTCCTGAATCTTTCACTTTAAAGTAAATTCCAAGAGCTATCAAACTTATGCCCATCAGGCTCGAGGACAAAATTAGCAGTGGTTTTCTCCCGGCCCGGTCCACTATTACGGCTGCCACCCCTGACATCACGAACTAATATTTTGAAAAATATTGAAACATTCAATAAAATTTATATTTACTCTTCATTCTCAATTCACGTACCTGTACAAGTGCCACGACGATGGCAGCAACGTCCGAGCTCATGCTGCTTCCAGCAGCCTCAAAAATTGTTACAGTGTAGAAAATAACGGCATTGATACCAGATAATTGTTGGAAACTCATAACACCGAAGCAGGCTAGAACAGCTCTTCGAGAGCCCCTCGTTCGAATTAAATCAAACACTGAGCTTTTTCTTGAGGCATTTTCCTCAGCTTCTCGCTGCATCTCAGCGAGTTCATCGCTGGGGTCGTACATAGACCCGCGGAGGGTCTTCAGGGCGTTTGTGGCCTCTGGCTTTCTACCTTGTCCCTTCGCATAATAACAAAATCAGTCATGAAATTTTGAAGATGAGAAAAACTCTTGCAACTTACAACGAGCCAAGAAGGTGATTCAGGCATGAACACAAAGCTCCCAATGAAAACAACTTCTACCAGGGCGCAGAGAATAGCAAAAACAGTGTACGACGTGACAGCCCCCAGGACAAAGGCCATAAGAATTCCTCCCCCGAGAAACAGTTGGAACATGGCTCCAAGTGTTCCTCTGGTTGAGGGTGTGGCTATCTCTGCGATGTACGAGGGGACCTGGACACAGGCAGCCCCGACACCGATTCCAACGATGAATCGAGCCACGCAAAGCAGCCAAACGCTCCTGGCAAGTACAATCATGAGCCAGGAAACGAGGAATGGACCCGAGAGACAGAGCAGAGCTTTCTTCCGGCCCAGTATGTTGGCAAGGGCTCCGGCAGGGAGTGCCCCTGCGATTGCTCCCAGAGCTAGGAGAGAACTCACCCAGGAGCCTTCGTCCTCGGACACCGGGAGGAATGAGTTTTGGTTCAGCTTGGGAAGGATCGGGGATGTCCAGGCCAAGGCTGTGCCAACTCCAACTGCCAGGCAGCTCGCTGAACATAACTTTCATTATTAAACACCTGCTGACTTGAATAAATCACAAATACTCACCTGAACATGCCGCAAGGTACTGCCACATTTGACCGATCTCCTGTTTTCTCCCCGACCTCGTATTACCGTCGTTCATCATCCCCGATGTTTCCATCTCAATATAAAAAATTTGTACCTCTCCTCTGTTGAAGCTTAACGATCTTATGAAGAATCTCACAGATAATTGAAGAAAGCGTCGAGTCGCGGCCAGCGCACCGACGCCCTATCAAAATTTTCCACTCCCAAAATCACGAGGAAAATTGGAAGATCCGCCCGTCACGGTTACTCGGCTAGTACTATCTTTTCTTTACTATCATCGATCAGTTATCTTGGTCGATGGAGAATCCAGAGAAAAATCGTACATTGATTTATGAAGTAAATGCGAAAGTAAATAAATCGACACCAGTGCAATGGATTGATAAAGTTAACTTTAAAGTGCTTTTAAACATGTCATTTTTTTTGACTCATTTATTCTGTGTTAAATGTGTATTTGGCCGGGGTAAAGAGGCGAAGAGGTTCAACGTAGGGCCTCAGTCTTATCTCTGCCAGTGAACGATAAAGTCAATGGAAAAAGTCCGGAAAAGTGTAAGGCGCACTCTACTTCGTAAACTTTATCATTGCTCACGTTTAACTTCCGCATCACTCTCTCGTCATTGGAATCAATGGACAATCATTTGATTTCAGGAATTTTTTATTTGTGTCTTATAAAAGAGAAAATAATCCGAACAGAGGATAAACCACCAGGAGTAAATGATTTCCCATTGGAAATAAAAATTAAGTCTTTTCAATACCTTCTGTTTCCTCTCTGGGAATTACACCTTAAATCAATCTTAATTGCTAATAAGGCCTTTACATCCTCGATATGAAAAACATGATCATTCTAATGGTAATACTTGCGCACCTCTCATGATGTTATTACGCATGAAAATAAATGGTAGAAAAAAGACAAAGATGACTTAAATAATTGTAGAAAACACATTGACATGGAAATGGACTAAAAATGCATTGGCAGTGGTCCAATAAAACAAATTAAACTACAGCTGACACACGATTCGGTTCATCGTATAAAATAAATCCCTACGATGATTTTTTTTTTAATGATAAAAAGAAAATATGGATAATAGATTGGGAGATTCGATGGGTTGACACGATTTTTTCAATATTTTACTAGTACCTACACTGGCAATCATCTTCAATTATAATTATTTTCTGATAATTTCTAGATTTTTAGTAATCTCGAGTATGTAAATATGAGTTTACCAGTGTCAGTCGTGTTAACGAGCTTATATCGCCTGGCTGATAATTTATCGATGAGAGATCTCACATCGGCCTCACTTTGATGATTACTTGTACGAATCGAGAGGACTGATATTCTAATAACGTCCCAGGGAATGGTATCTAGCACCTGCAATAAATTCCCATAACAACTCAATTCTATTTAATTCTATTAATTCTCCCTTGATAATTAATTAAAATATAATATTACCTGACTGTCAGACGAGTCAATGCTATCGAGATTAAAGTAATCAATGGCTGTTTGATTGTAAGCAAGGAGGACACTGTAAAGTGGGAAGCACTTGAGCCTCATCGTTGGAAGACCCTCGTCAGAGAATATCAAACTATTTGGACCTTCGCTCAGCTTGGTAACTCGCACCTCTGACTCTTGATGATACGTAATCTGTTGGATAAATTTTGTCTCACATCAGAGGGGAAAAAAAATTATAAAAAACAAGGGAAACAGCGGAGATGATATTTTTACCTCTTTGGTATCTTTGTCGGTGCTCAAACAAGCATGGAGAGCACGTGTCCTTGGATTACGGTAGCTCTTGCACGCTTCAAAGAACGATCTGAAATCAGTGAGGACCAGCAATCCACGCCAGCCATAATAAGCCTCCAGCCAAGAGCTCGTGGAGATGGCACCAGCATGATTAATGTATTCGAGGTAAACTCCATCACGTTTGCTCTTGAAAAAATTCACCAAGAACTTCTCCTCGGGAGTTTCGGTTATGTTGTGAAGTTCTAGGTTCGATGGCTTCTTGAAATGCATCTCACGGATGTAAGCTACCAACTGAGGATTGTCCATTGAGACCCCAAAAACATAATCCCTTGTCATGTTTGCGTCGAATGCTTGCCTCCTGCGGGATGACAAGGGAAATTGGCATGAGTAAACGGCATGGGCCTTCTAAGATGTCCAGGAAAATTACCTCTGTGCAGCTGCTTCACTCCAAATCAGCAGTAAAGCCATCGCCGTGGAAAATGCTGCAAGAAATGCCAGACATGGTGCAACACGTCTCAACCAACTCTTTTTTATTTCACCAGGTAAAGGAACTGAGGCTATTGGTAACGTTGCTGTGCCACCGGCCACCGATGGTATCACTCCTGCACCTGTCATTCTATTGAAAAAAATTCTTTTGTGAATTCCGCAGAGAACAATTCACTTGCAAAAAAACAATGATGATGTATTTATGAAAAGACCACTCACTTGCTCTCAATCCCCTTGGAAACTTCTAGATTCACCATTGTTTACGCTCCACTAGACAATTAATTGATTATTCAATTGTTATTCCTCCTAGAATGATGAAAAAAAATCGCTCTTATATTCAGAAAAAAAAATTGTCGACTAGACGCCCAATCTTTCACATTATTCTGGTCAGTTGAACTATTTTAAGACAAAAAAAAATGGTGTCGAATAATCAATTGTTTACATTACTGAATGGAACAATTGATTTACTGCAGGCGTCAATTAACGTAGAATTTATGGATAATTAATTTTTAATGTATCAAATAATTACACTTACCTGACTAGGAATTTTCACTGGGACAGCAGCTGCTTTGAACGAGCCCTCATGAAAAGTAATACCTCTGTAAACACCGAGAGAATGTCCTTTCGACGCTTTGGTATTTCACTAGTTTACATTATTCGATAATTTCGCAATTGGCGTTTCTCTCCGGGTTTTTTATTGGCTAATTGGCACCCACGTCTGCAACTCCGAGAAATGCTGAGCACATGTGTTTCTCGGATTGATGAGTAATAGTATTGTGGGGGAGATATAAAATTGGAATGAGAAAAAAATGAGAAAAGGACGACAATGCGATCCCGTCTCGGCTCGGAGAGGCTCCGATGCGTTCCGATCCAAAGACGGTTGACTAAAGTAGAGGCTCACTTCTGGGGGTTTGAATGACCCCCGTGGCATCGTAGTACTGCACCCCAAGAGAGGGAGGGCACCACACGCAATGCTGGGGTGTTTTTTTTTTTATTAACCAAGTTTTTATTGCAATGCTGGGGTGTCCATCAAGTCGACGGGGTGAATTTTATTTTCTGCTGTACGAATGCTTTTTGTTTTTCATTTGTTTAACTGAAATTTAGCCGACTGTAGAACGTACGGAAGGGGGAAACCACATCTTGTGGAATTTCAATGGAAAAAATTATTCAATATGTTGAAGATATACCACTAATGAATTTATCGGTAACGTGCTTGCCTACCACACCGACGGCCAGGGTTTGATCCCGCCGTCATTCATTTTTTTTTTTTAAATAATTCCATTTTTATATTTTTTAAATGGCTAATCAATCGAAAGATCGTTTAAAAACTGAATTTTTGAAAATCGAGATCATATTCAGTGAAATTGACAAATTTGAATTTTTTTAAAAAATACCTTTCCAAAATATATACCCCTAATGAATCCCGGCATCATTCATTTTTTTTTTATTTAAATAAATCGAAATATTGTTTAAAAACTGAATATTTGATAATCGAGAAGATATGCAATAAAATTGAACAATTTGACATTTTTAAAAACGAAAGTTTTTCAATATATATACTACAAATGAAATTTTGTTATTGTAATAGCGCGTTATCCTAGCGGTAACGTGCTTGCCTACCACGCCAACGGCCCGGGTTCGATTCCGGCATCATTCAATTTTTTTTTTTTCATAATAATTCCAATTTTTTTTTGTTAATGGCAAATCAATCGAATTATTGTTTAAAAACTGAATACCTACTCGATTGTCATGTTCCCCTGATAC